CAAAAGTCAATTTAAGGATATCTTAGAGATAATTACAATACGGGCTCCAAGAGGAAAAAACTAGAAAGTTGTACAAGCAATTTTGTTGACGATATTGATGTTAATTTTAGCCTGTTTTCGCTCCGGGAATGTCAATTTTGATTAAGTTTATTTTCCGAACTTCGACAGCTTTTGAGAACTCTCTTGAAAAGTCGTGATTTGCCATGGAAAACTAGAGGATGTTCAAAACCCCTAACAATTAAAAACACATTTGTGTAGTTTTTATCTATTCTTTCAAAGTTATTCCGACACGGGGATTAACGAAAATGTACAATCAAGCTTCCGTTGTGTGTATTCAAAAGATTTAAGCCATGTTCGGTGAAAAGAGGGATTTTCATTCTGCATTTTTTCACAAAGCATCGCTATAAACTTAAATAAGGATTAGCAACTTCATTGAGGATTTTATAAGAGCTTAAGGAATTAAAAATTTAAAATAAGATGAAAAAATGTCAAGTGCCTTTTGTTGCGCGTCATAGCTGAAAACGCAAAAAAAAACTTTTGCACGAACATCGTATTTCTTTCTTTTCGTTTCTAAACCTTAACTATTTTCTTTAAACGATTATGTGTATGTTTATACATTTTAAATGCAGTTTAACTAAAAACAATCACTACTTAAAGGTCTTGAACCTAATTAGACCGATTTGCGTTGGTCAAATTTTTGCCAGAGACTCACAGCAACTCGAAATTCCTGTTTACAAAGCTCAAGTTGCGCTTCAAACCACACGTTCTGTGTTTCTAATCTATGTTTATACCTAGGTCAATTAAACGTTAAAACAAGCTTAAAGACAAGCAAGGTTAATTGGTACAAGATTTGGCGATAAGAGATATCAACAAAGTGAGTGTTTGGTCTGTTGTGTATGTGATTTTCCAAGTGAACGCCGGCGGCAGTTGAATTCAAACGTCTTTATTAGTGCGGGCTGTTTGTATGGTAAAAAAAAAACATTACTTAAACTAAAGCACGTTTCTTCAACTTCACCTTAAAGTACCACAAACTTCAAATTCAATCCACTTAAACCGTGTACTTCTTTGAGTAAAAAATAGATAAAATATCTATCGTCGTTTTTGCATTTGCGGATCTCAAGTTTCCCCAAAAAGATATAATGTTTTACTACATGAATAGTTAAAACACGATAATTGCAAACACCAAAATGCGTTGAATCAAAGTAGCAAATTAATGAGTTACATTTACTGTTTTAAAATAAACAAAAACGCGCAAATTAAGACTAAAAGTAAATGGTAAACATAACTTTTGTTGCCGTAAAAACGCCGCTATTTTGTTTTTCGCTTTTGATTGCCGACTTCCAAGTAAAATGTAGCTTTTAGATTGTTTGATGGCAAAGAAGATAACAAAAACGGAATTTATTCCTATTTGTTGATTTAAGGAAACACAATTCTACTTTTGATTGAAGATTGTCTATGAACTGGTTTTCCGTGTGCGAGGACTCGACGGCAGGGCGTGGTCGCTCATCAAGGCGTGGCTACCAAGCCCGAAGGGAAAAAAATCTTTTAGGATGTTTAATAGACCAGGTATTTTACTGTTTTTAAACACACTTTTTCTACACAATTTTACTTTGTTATAAACTTAGTACAGACACTAGTGTTGCTGAAATAGAAGAAGGGAATATATTAAACAGCAAAAAAGCGGATTTGATGCACTTATTTTGGACCAGTTTTTGAGTTTTTTTGCAGCCAATGCTTTTCACTATTTTATCCAACAATTGGTTACTTCTTTATCACGAAATTTTGGCGTTGTTGGGASGCAATTCTGAATTGCTATAAGAAACCAGCCATTTTGTACGGCTCAAATTGCTACTGTTTCAGCGCAGGTTTCCCTAGAAATGTAAAGTAATTAATACTGGAATACTGTTTGTAAATAAGCAAGTAAAACAATTTATTTTGAAATGAACATAATGTATAGTGTCGAAGTCTTTACTATAAACACATTTGTAATGTCTAGTTTCGTCAGAAAAATAATTTACMCATAATTTTTTTATGACCTTCATATCAAAATTATCACAGATTTATTTATAATAATCACTTTCATTAKAGAAAAATGTGGAATTTCATAGAGTAGAAAAGAGGAGAGGCTAAATAAAATGGAAGAGAATGGAATGGGAAAATGAGATTTAATAGGATGGAATGGAATTTARTAAAATTGATTAAAAAGATAAAATGGAATGGAATTCCATGAAATAAAAAAMGGCTAAATACTATAGAATTGAACAGAATGAAAGGGAAAACGAATCGAATTTAATGAAATAGATTAGAAAATAGAATATATTTWATCGACAATGTAATGGGATTCAATGAAACAGAAGAGAAGAGGCTAAAATAGAATAGAATGAAATGGGACAAATAGAATGGAATACAATGGAATAGAAACGAAGAGACTGAATAGAATAGAAKAGAATGAACTAAACTYCGTGAAACAAAATCCAATAGTCAAGACCTTAATGCTGCAATAAACGCAAAAGAAAACAATGCAGTTGATGACAACTATGATGAATTAGTCTAATATCTATTTCAGTAGTTTATACAAACCACTCAAAGGTTGAGATTCAGCAGCGTTTAGATGTTATATTTACATGCGAACTTTAGACACATGTTCGAGCCATCGGCCCGCTTCAGGGAAAAAAGAAAACTGAATTTATTGCAAGAAAAACAACTTTTACTCGTTAAAATTCAATATGAAACTTTTTAGCCTTTTTGTGATTCTTTCAAGGGTTTATAGAGATCACACTCGTTTATCGTTCTGGCGTATTTTTTTCGTAATTCTTATTGTTATCATACAAGCGGCTCTTGTATAGTTGAAAGATTGAAGATAGCTCGAGACTACGAGTACTTTGTGAAGATAACCAAGTACCTCTGAAAGTCGTTTCGTCCATGTATTAATTTTYTTTTGCAGTAAWTTGGCTTTAAAACAAAATTGGAGTAAAAATWAAATAATATGGCAGTCCCCTTGAAATTTGTTCKTCACGTTTAATATTAACCTCATTCGTACTAATTTTCGCGCGAATTTCATTTCGTGATTGAGTCGCGAAATTAAAGAGTTTTCGCAAAAATGCTCATACATATTGCAGTTATTRGCAAAAAAACAATKCTCGGRAAATTTGCCTGCTCCAATTTAGCGAAATTAAGTGCCCACGAAAATTAGTACTACACCTTACGGCTAAAATAATAATAAAAATTCGAGAGTTTTATGTATTTCTGCAACATTTATCTCGCRCGCCTACGCGCCAGTAAATGACAAAGTCTACTTATAAATGTTCTATAATATACAAGGAAAAAAAACATTTCTTTTGGACACATCATAAAGTGTACAATTATTTTGTGAAAAAGCAGTGCCGCGCGCGCCTGAGCCGCGTCTTTTGCTACCAAAGTTAAGCAATGAAAGATGTATGTCCCGTAGTAAATATCGGAACCCACGCAATGCAGAGAAGAATGGTAAGCAAAGAGATTCAAGCATTTCTTAATAAAGAGAGAAACCAATACACAAGATAGATGTTTGGGCAGAAAAGTCAAGGCAAAATTTTGTAATGTTTTTTTTGTGTGTGTGTGTTATTACAATACCAACATTTTTACACAAGTTTTATACAAAACTTTTTCGTTTAAATAGTACAAACTACATTTGTGCCTTGCTATAAAGAAGACTTGWAGTATAATAAATGTATGGATGGGTAAATAAATGAATCAATTCATTGAATGAATTTATGTAAGGATAGATAAACAGAGCGGGATGAAAATCATAATAATTTGACTTTAAATGAAACGATTGACTGGATTGATTGATATATCAAAGAATTGATGGATAGCAATTAGCGAATAGCAATCAAGACGTATGTATGGCTATAGTCAGTCTGAAACAATCTATGAAAAACAGGTCWAACTTAACATGATCATTACTAAAAAAAGTAAAAAATCTTCCTTTTACAAAGATCTAACGATAAAGGGATATAATAACAAAGGAGCGTATAAAGTTTTAGSAGCAGCCTTGCAGTGTTTAGCCAGAGCGACTCTATCAGTTCTYATRATCCGCCAGACSCTATCAGTCCAAATGACTTTGAAGTAATACCAAATCAACAAAAAATCTCCCCTGGTTTAGTTYTCTAATGCCTTTATTGATTTGTTTATATCCTGTACAAAATAACAGTGTCAAAATAAGTGAGTTTATCTGCCAATACCACATCGCTTSAAGCGATTCCGCCCGTTATGACAACACACGGGTCCAGAATGGCTGCGCGGACGCGTCAAAAGCGCGCCAAAATCTCGATCGCCTGTTTCCGATTCCCTGCTCTCTATTGTTTGCTAGTGTTTGGACGTTTATAGTGAACTATTAGGAAATGCGATTAAGGCTTACCCGTAAATGGAAAAAGGAAAGACAATCTAATCAAATAGACAGAAGAAAGATTAAAGTATGACGGCTTTTTGAGAATTACACGCCGACTKGCGAAAGTATACCGCGTATTGAAATTGTTTTTTTGGGTAGTTCATGCAAGAACAAGTACATTAACGAGATTATATCAAATTCGGCTGTTATGATTGTATTTTTTAAGTACTTTCAAGTGCGATAAAAATTCAAAATACTCTTTTGGATTTTTGATATTCCGACATTCACAAAATATCGTTATRTAGTCCCATCTTTATCGCAARTGRATATTTTTAGCAACACGTAAGCTTGGTAGTAAAAATATTTTGSCAAAATCAAAGTTAGCAGCCCCGGTATTTAAACTTCAAAAATTTGAATTCCACTGACGAAGTAACTGCTAAATTAGGCGATTAAATCGAGTATTAAAAATCCATTTTAAAATGTTTGCATAGTGACCGTCACAATTATCAACTATATCTTTGTTTCTCTTATCTTCTTTCTTTTTTTTAATTAGATTTTGTTTACTTTTCTTTGTATTTCAATTATTGGAACGATTCTAGAAGAGTATTTTTTATGCGAAAACAATAATTCTGTATTAAAGCTTAGTTGTTTTTTTATTATCCAAAATAAAAGCTTGCAAACTTAACTGTACAATCTGATACGAAATAGTGATTATTGTTGCCATGTAACCCATCTTCATCACGAGTTGAGCATATGGTCTCAATTCATGTCTGTCTGCGTGCATTCATGTACATGACAAGTCAGGGCGCTTTTTGATATATGTCATTCCTTTGTAGTTTAAAAGATTTACAGACCTTCTTTTTCTCTTATTCTAAGGATACAAGAAAATAACAGAATCACTGTGATMAACTTGCGTCATGCAGCTTAATTTGCTGTTCTGCAAATATGGTTTCTATTACGCAAATGAACGGACATCGCAGCAAGAACAATTGTAAGGTTTTACCCATTAACAAATGATTAGCAAAGAAAAAAATATAGAAAGACACGCAATTGTSCACTSTCCGTCATATACACAAAWGCAAGGAGGACTTCATTATCTTTGAAGAAACAAAATAAAAGTGATTGAAATGTTTAGTGATGATTCGCGTCGGAAAAATCAAAGTGTATAACGGAAATAAAAACCAAAATGAAAACTAAAAAAAAACAGAAACAGGGATGACATGAAAAAATAAAAAAAGGGAAAATATGGGGGATACAGGGATAGTTCAATTCCAATCGCAATGAAATGTGCATTGGATCCAAGGACCTCAGCATTAAAAAAACATGGATCCACTCTTAAAAATATAAAACGTTAATGTAAAAAGGAAGAGGCTGTAAAATAGAATAAAATAAACGTATTAAAATGAAGGATGACATTCATGTAAAACACTCGCAGAATTGGAAAATGGGTTTCCTGTGTGCAACAGATTTACTGATAAATTAAAAAACTTGGTTTAGTTTATATGGTATAAGTGTTGTTCCTGTTTACAAGTGACATCACAAACAGTCGTCACATGAAAGCCCTGTCCACTATCTGACACATAGAATCATGGGAAATATTCGATGCATAAAATACAGTGTCCCAATATAAGGGTAAATAGCGCTTTCCACTGGGTAAATCCTTAATGTAACATATAAAATCCATACAAATCTATATCTTGACCCAGAATCCCGTCATGCATATCATTGGTAAAGCTGCTGTCGAACAATGTTAGCTATTTCTTCTTTGACTTCAGGCTTTAAAAGATCTTTTACCTGTTGAAACAAAAATCAAAGTTGCTATCAAAACAGATTTTTTCTCTCATTGGTCTTCCTGTGTTGATTTATCCTGAGAAAAACTGTTGCCAAGAGATTTTCCTTCTTTCCTAACCCCTCCCACCTCTTCCTTAACACAGGAATCCAGCAGAATAGAATTGCCTACATGTATGATCATGTGTTAATTTCTAGCTTACCGAATATTTGATAGATTCCTCATATGCATACATTAAACTTGTATCAAACAATAATATGGAATGTTCAGCTAGTGCTAAAACACAGTTACGAAGTCTAGAGATTGTTTCTCTGTCCGTCGGCGAGATCTGAAAAAAAATAATAAGTATTAGTAAAAAACAGTGCACCTGGAAAAAGCCCTTGTAGAATCATTGATGGTTAAATTCTTTTTTTCCAAGTGCTTCCGACTAAAGTCTCTTTTGCAGCATTCCCTTTTGTTGGGCTTCCTGTTCCTCCCCCTTCTTCTTTTGGGAGGGACAGGAAGCCCAACAAAAGGGGAGGCTGCAAAGTAGACTATACAGACTAAAGATTTCAAATTTTGTGCCATTATCACAAGAGAATAACATACACGTTGTGGCGTGTTGTCAATCARAGTCTGATCTTCCTGGACATCTGTAGCCACAGACTGTTCCTTAACCAGTGGACTAATCCAGACAGACCCGTTATTTCCCATGATAACTGTGGCACCACACTGTAGATTATGGAAATGGGTCTTGCAGCGCTTTACCATTGTTGGAGGAACTTGAACAAGGGTACCCTGTCTTAGCTGTTGGCAAAAAAATACATGTGTGATTTGATTCTCTTGCTGATAGAAAGGAGAGTTGTGTTGTACAGAATAATCTATTTCACATTTCCTGACACCATCTTGAAATAAAGCTATGGTTGATGAGCATATTGCACAGTTAGATACTTGAGAAACACCCAGGACATGGAATTTGGAGCATTCCTGGATTCAATATTTTTTCGTGAAAAATTTTGTAAGGATTCTGGATTCCAATCATTGAATGGACCCTAGAATCTAAGTGTCTGGATTCCAGATTCTAGAGACAAGATTCTGTGTCACAGGGAAACTAAGAAAAGYATGCATGGACCCTAGAATCTGAGTGTCTGGATTCCAGATTCTAGAGACAAGATTCTGTGTCACGGGGAAACTAAGAAAAGTATGCTGTCCAAATAATGCAAAAGCTGTCTACTGCTGATGCAAAGGCTAGGTTTCTTTTCAAGATGGCAGAGGGAACTGAAAAACATGTTAGGAGTAGGTTTTCAACTTATGTTAGYAATGGTCAAACTCAACGAATCAAGCCATCTTATAAACCAACCTTTCCATACTTTAAGCTTCTTGCATGAAGTGATAATGATCCATCTGCAAAGATGGACTGCACTTCTGCCTTAAAACAACGTTAAAGATAAACTAAAACTGATATCTTTCCCTTGAATTTGTTCTCTGTTACAAATGAAACCTCAATGGGGTTGGGTGGGGCTAGAATGGGGAGGGGTGATAAGAGGAAGGGTGTACCTGTATATAGGGGAAACATTTCTTAAAACAAAGGATACACTAATCAGATCTCCTTCTGTAAAGTATTCTCTCATCATGAGCTCATCCTTGCTTGATCTTCTTCTCTGAAGTAACAAAAAAACACCTTTAATATAGACTTGATTTCCAGGATGGGCAATACTCCAATTTCAGGTTCTGTGTTAGCTCTGTGCTAGCCTCAAAACCAAGCAACATATTCTTTTGTTTCATTTATAGCCCGAGAAACAAATTGAATTTATAAAGAAAGACAATGAAATTGATTTAAAATCTCACACATTTATGCTCACAATTAGAAATCTTTTGCACACAAATGAGGCTAACACAGAGTATTAGGGAATTCAAAACTGGATTATAGTGTTGTTAAATCCACAACATCTGACTTGCTGGCAACAGAGGCTTATTGTAGCAWAAACCATGTTCATTTTAGATTATTATTTAAAATTGTTTTTATATTTATTGCAGGAATAAATCCTTCAAAGAATCAAGTGAAGCAAYGTTTTTGTTGGCTTACCAATTCCCCACCAGGAAGATTTACTGAGGAAAGTAAAAGAACTGAATCAAGTCTGGAAAATGTTTCTACTTTCCATCGTTTTTGACCAACCTAAAAAACAGTTCAAGGAAATATTATAAATGGTACCACTTAAGGAGTTTTTTCCTAAGTATCTATCATTGAAAACAGTACCTTATAACTCATTTTTTATAACACATGGCCATAAGCATAGAAAATAGAGAGAKCTAAGAGTCTGTAAATAAGCACTAGCATGTTTGATAGTAATKTTTCTCTATTTTTCTAAAAGAACTTAGTTTGTTATGTTAAATGCTGAAGGGGACACATGATTGATAACTGCCAATCACWATTCCCGGCTTGGAAGACAGCTGTTGCATTAACATGAAACAGCATTGAGCATGCAGTTGCAAGCTTGTCAGCTGTCTCCTTTTAATGCAAAGGCAARGTTATCTTTCAAAATAATTCAAGGATCKGTGAAGARGAGCTTGCAGAWCCTTACCTCGGTGATTCTCCCCACAACAACATCTCCAATTTCGCCATTATACCTGTAAATTCAAAAATTTATTCATAAAACGCTCTTTCCCTTAATAATACATGAATGTAGGTTACTTYTATCACTACACAAACCTTGTATTGAAAGGTCTGACGCAAATCAGTTTATTTACTCTTTCCACAATTCCAGAAACAGAAGCAATCAATTTGTCATCCTGAACAAATGTGCCATGTCCCCTTGAATGTAGAAACATTGCCAAAGGTAAGAGTAGGYCATTAGATGAAAACGATATACTGTATTTCTGTATTGTCCTGACATACCTCATGTAACCAAGATCTTCCGAAATCACATCTCCTGGCGAAACAATATGCTTTGGTTCTGAGTCAACCTGCCGGGGAAGCGTTCTCCTTTTACTTGGCAATCTTATGTCGACRGACATTTTCAATTAACTAAGYTAACAGAATTTTTTGCAAACTATTCGAAAACTCGTKCAAATTGTCCACCATGTTGGACGTGGGCGAATGAAGAGGACTGGTACTAGAAAGCGCAAGCGATGTTTAAAACCAGCGGTTATCATTTTGAATTCAAAATGGCCGTCGTYWGGAGTGAAATGCGAAAGTTTTGTATGAAAAAGTTTGAAGTTCACTAATACTAATGCGTCGTTAAAACAGTTAACCGAATAACATGGATTTCTCAAAGTTCTCCGATCAGAATTTTGAYGTCAAAGAGTGGGTAAACGCGGCTTTGAGGTCGCGAGATGAAAAAACTCCTATGGATGTAAGTACATTTGACACGTTGCAAGAAGTTCATTCAGTTCTGATAATCAGCATTCTTGTCTCGATCTGAGATCATTGATTTTATTCATGGCAAATTATGTTCTTTGTCTGCTTTAGGCGCATGCCTCAACTCTAGTCATGAAACTTCAACTGTTTATCCAGGTAAGGATGTCAATATGTTTAAGTTATTTGCACTTCTTAATTCATTTCATTTTTTGTTGTTGTTWATTTTTTTTCAGTATTATTCAAGTTTATGTTGATTTATATTTATTTTGCATTTAATCAGGAGGTAAATAATTCATTAGAAGAGACCAGCATACAATGTGTTAATTGCATACCAAGGTGAGCAGCATGAATAATRCATTCTTTGTTCTGCTTTTGTTGTTGTTGGTGGTGGTGGAGGGTTTTTTGACGATTAAACACATTTGCACAGATTCTTAGTATAGTATCTATTCAATTAGTCATTTATTTCATCATTCATACACTTATTTGTTTCACATCAGCATCAGCATCATCATGATTATTATTGTCATAATCATCATAATTATCTTTATCAAAACAGGGTGTCAAGAGAAATTGAAAATCTAAGACATGAGGCAGCTCTTTTGAAGGAACAAATGCACTTAGTCAAGGAAGACATCAAAAAGGTATTTATTTAATGCCACTTTTCTACAAATTAGAATGGTTATATCGAATAAAAGCMTTGACCCACACCAGTTAGATGAATATCCATGAAAGCCCAAAAAAATGATCTGCCTTGTAAAGAATAAAATAGGTCAGAAATGTTTGATTGATCAATCAGTACATATTTGTCTTCAAAATGATGTCCCGCTTTTTAAAGTTATTGTACTTCATTGTTAAGTACACTTTTAAAAGCCTAYGCATGTTTAAAAATCAGTATGATTTAAAACCCTCAGCCCAATACATAATTTCTCCAACAGAACCCTAAAATAATACACCCAGAYTTCTTTCTTAAGATACATTTGTGATGGTATTTTATGCTGTACTCAAGTGAGTGAATGTAATCTACAACGTGTGTTTGTATGTTAGGTTGAGGAAAACACAGCACAGTCTATGAAACTGTTAATGGAACTTGATGCTGTTAAGTCAAGAATGCAGTCAGCCTCACAAGGTCTTCAAGTAAGATGAAGATATTTGTTTTACATTTTGAAGAAGAGAGTTACAATTCGTTTACATTTATTGATTATGTATTTCTATGTCATGTATAGTTAACAAAAATAGATGGTACATGTAGATTATGCTATTAGTCCTTTGTTTCCTGTCAGTGCATAATTATATTAAATTAGTAGTGCTTATTTCACAGATTAAGTGTGTGCACATCCGACATTATACTATTAAAATGTTTCTTCCCAGGAAGCTGATAACTGGACAACGCTTTCTTCAGATGTYGAAAAGGTTTTTGAATCTGGAAATATAAAAGAAGTAAGCTTGAATATGATATTTGTCTACAGTTGTACATGTACGTTCAGAACGATGTCCTTTGTACATCTTTAAGATGCACTCTACAGAACGATATTTTTAATCCTTTCAATCAACATTTTTTGTAGATCTCTGCCAAGCTTGTTGGAATGCACAAGAGTCTAGTATGTCAAAATTGTTATTATTTGAATAAATACATGTACATGTCTTTAGGACTAGAAACTAGGAGTCTTTGCAGAGTCTCCCTTGCGTTAGAGCAATTTTTTTGTATGACTGTACAAGGAGCTAGATAACGGCATRGACACAACACAAAAAAGGCACCAAGTTTCAACTGCATTGGTTCTTTAATTTTTGATCATATTCTTGCACAATATCATAAAGAAAATTACAAAGTTTTGTTGTTAAGATTTGATTTTCTTATCCATTATTACTGTGATTGTTGTAATTTTTGCGCATATTTTATTTGCTATTATTTATGTATATTTTATTTGCTATTATTATGTATATTTTATTTGCTATTATTATGTATATTATATTTGCTATTATTATGTATATTTTATTTGCTATTATTATGTATTTTAGACTGTACTGCAAGATGTACCAGACTATGCTGAAAGAAGGAGACTATTGGAGGGTTTAAAGAATAAACTAGAGGCTTTACTGAGTCCTAAGATAGTATCAGCATTCAACAACCATTCCCTAGGTAAAGATCAAATAACAGCTCCATAATGGACTACTGAAGTACAATCAAGTACTTATAAGAGTGAATGATTTGAAACAATGCAATACTGTAGCTGTATCATTATATCTATATTTTTGAAAATTTCATAGATGAGACAAAAGAATATGTCCAGATATTTACAGATATTGATCGCCTTGATCAGCTACAAAATTATTATATACGATGCCATAAGGTACGTCACAACCATACTTTATTGAGTGAGAAATATTAGTTATCAATATAAAGAATTAATTTGTTTATACAAATTCATTTATAAACCATTTTAGCCTCTAAAATAATATGTAAATAATCTTTAATTTTGCATACTAAAAGCCATTTGAACCATAAATATGTCCATTGTATATCAGATATTATTTATTTTTGTTTGCAGACAAAACTGCAAAAGACTTGGGTTGATATGCGCACAGAAGATCCTAACAAGACGATGCTTGATTGGTTAGCTACTTTTTATGATGTGATGTTATCAACATGGCATACAGAAGTGAGCAAATAAACTATTGACTTGAGATGTTCTTTAAACAATTATTTAACAATCAAATATTCTAAAATTTCCAAAGAAATGTATGGGAAGCAGMGAATGTGTCTGCATTTTGACCATTTTCCAGACACATTCTTGAGATCACATAGTTATAAATTTCTTTGGAAAATTTAGAATATTTTAAGGCTGTAACTCGTTCACTATTGAACTGATTTACATCAAATTTTGGAATTTTGCATTTCTCAACAAGGGCTTTTTTTCCTATGCTTAAGTCATGTCATGATTATCCAATTAGGGGATTTTGAAATGCAGCAATTGCTAATAAGGGATCTTAATTTGTAGATCAGTTGGTGTAGTCAAGTCTTCCCTGAACCAGGAACAGTGTTATGTGTTTTATTCACACAAACACTAACTCACTTGGATCCATCACTCTCRCAGTGCATTACAGAATATACCAAGGATGAAGAAGATCTTTTACAAAGATTGATTGACTTACGGCAGGTAATGGTAGTTAATCTTGAGAAATTATCCTTCAGCAGCATGTTAGTAAAGGGAGTAATAATATATAGCAAATGCGGACAGATACTGCTGTTATATGGTACAATGTAGATGGTAAAATACACTTTATATGAAGTCTAGCTTTTGCTGTTCTACAGTATCAACATGACTGACAACGTTCAGAAAAACCATGAATATTAATAGCTGCTATAATGTACAAAGGCCTATTTGTGCTAATATGATAGAGTTTAATATAGAAAAATGGTAATGGTACAAACATGTAGTGTTTTGAATAGACCATTTCAAGAATAACTCAGCCATTTGATATAAAACATTAATTTTAGTAAAAATCAAGTGCTGAAAAGGATGGAGTAAMAATTTTTGTAAATTTGCCAAGATTTAGAATAAAGTTCAAGAAGGCAAAGCTTGTCAAATTTTACATCTACATGTTTGTATAATTTAACCCTTTTAGCCATCTCTTTTATGCTGTRTTAGCCTCAAAACCATGTCAGTAATAAATCCTTTTATTCACTAACAGTCTGTGCAAATGCAAGAGATCCGTGAGTATAGAAGACAATGAAAAATAGTTTGAAATTTCACAAGTCTTAKCAAATTTTCTGAGGCTAACACAGCGTAAAACAGATTGCAAAACTCAATTATTGCTACTACTCATTGACTTTGAATGGCTGAGTATTCCATGGCCTGTCATATGATTGATTGTGTAATRTTGAGTAAAATTACTTATTAGAACTACTAAACAATTATATGTCAGGTGACAATGAGATATGCACAAGGACTAGAGACTGCTTTAGGCCAACAAGAAGGTACATTGTGTGATTGATCATCAATTATGTTTTTGAAGAAAAGAAAAACTTTTTCTGTAAGCTTCATCCCTTGGGATTTGTACTTTTTCACATTCAACAATTAAACTAAGTGGTCGATTTTTTTTGGTGATTAACTGGAACGTATAAATAGTTTTATGTTTTTTTTTTCAGGAAAATGTAGTCCCAATTCAGTATCAATGTTGGTTGATGCAGTGTTTTCCCCTTATACTCATTACATGCTGGAGTATCCAATGCTACAGCAAGACTATATGGCCACACAGCTACAAAATATGACACTGGTATGAGTTGTTYTATACAATGTACAGTATATGTATGTAGCCTTATATCAGGGTTCGCTCTACTCCTTGAAATCCTTGAAAAGTCCTAGAATTGAAAACTTGTTTTCAAGGGCGCTTGAACAGCCCTTGAAAATGGAAAAAAATTTCTAAAATTCCTGGAAAACTTTTTGAATCTGATGATTGACATGTTGCTTGTTAGGTTTTGGATTGAAATGTGGCTATTTTTGAAAGTCGCCACTGGAAACGTCCGCAAACATCACAAAATATCATAGTTAATAGATTATTATTAACTATGCAAAATATCTTCAAAAAATAGTCCTTGAAAATTGCATTCTTGTGCTTAAAAAGTACTTGAAAAGTCCTGGAATTGAGTAGTGAAAATGTAGCACAAACCCTGTTATATGTTGTGACATATGATAGTTTAGATTTTAATGAACAATTCATTGTCTGTTTAGAAATCAGATGGTTTTCTTGAAATGGCTGGACTTATGTCTGAATCAGTTGATAAAGTATTTCGTCTAGCAGATCAGGTTTGTGCAATAGTTGTGCATGCTAGTTGTGCTTGAATGATATTATTAAAAATATGTACTTTTCATGCAAATGTATCATTGCCACCACTTTATTAAACTCTAAAATTCAAATTCAGATGTAAATGATTTATAAAAAAAATAAAAAAAATGTCGTTACCACTGAAATTGACTATCCTGCTATCCAACCTCTTTTGACTTGAAATGAGAAGAGGATGGTTTTTTTTAGATTCAATCTTGGCTGATGAATGGAAATGGATTGCAATGGCAAAATAATGCATATTATTTTCATCAAAGTCACGTCCTTTAAAATTTAAAAAGAAAAATTTAAACCATGGCTGCATTTAATGCTGGTTAAACATGGACCTTTAAGCAATTTAATGGCAATGTGGCTTTTTGAATGTTTTAGGCAATTGAYTACTGCGTTAAGCTAACAGATGGCTATGCAGTGTGCGGACTGAGCATGGTTCTTGAGGTATGTCATATGCCTTGGGTAGTAAAAAAATATCTGTGTCATTCAGAGTAATTTTAGAATTCACAGATTAAACCTATTTTTCAGGAGTTCTTTAGTGTTTAYGCTGGTCAACTTGACGAATGCATTAGATCATTGCGAAAACAGTGTCAACTTGACAAGGAATTCTCACCAGGCATTGATGAGGATTTCCATGAGGATTGGACATTATTCCAAAATGCTTTTCGAATTATACAAATATGTGGTATGTTATCCAGTCATGTTTTACTATTGATCCATTCATTTCCACGAAATTGTTGCSTCATTAAAATTTCATTCATTCCATGTCAAATTTCATKCATTCCTATTCAACTTTCATTTATTCCCTGTTAAATTGCATTCTTTCCCAYTCAAATTCCATTCACTCTCATTCAAATTCCATCAATTCCCATTCAAACTCCTTTTAAACCCCTTAAAKTCMCAACYATTCCCATTCAAATTYCATCCATTTCATTTAAAATTCCATTCATTTYCATTCAAATCCCATTTATTTCCATTATAGGTGATCTCATTCTTCGAGTTTGTGATCATGACAAAAATCTCTATGACATTGTCATAATGTGTGGCCGTGAGATTGGAGGGAAATCATCAGATAGCGAGACAACAAAATCRTCAGCACGGCCTTTCAAATGGTACAACTATCTACAGAAAGAAAGACCCAATGATTTCAATACATTGCTGGAGTTTATACAAAAGTTTCAGTCAGGTAGGTGTGTTTTAGTCTCCTCCACACGCAACTACAGTGTATTCTGTATAAACTCCTTTTCTTTTTAGAGCGGATTTCGTATGAGTGGGAAACGGATGGTACTGTACTGTGACCGTAATCGTACTGTAACCAAATTCTAGTKCCYCATTGGTYCACSAAAATTKTGMAGGMYAGGTSCGGTAACTGTGCGGTAACTGTGCGGTAACGGTGTCCCACTCATACGAAATCGGCTCTATTTACGAATCGTTGGGCTTCCTTTGTTCCCAGACTTCCAGAGAAAGAGAGAGTATATCGGAGGAGGCTAGGTGTGTTTGTGATCCCAGATCTCTGGACTCCCTGTACATGTATACACAACYCAACGCATAATGAGATGAAACAATTTATTACATATTAATGTATTTGAAAGTGGTTGTAAACAACATTTTCTTATAATTTTGGCAAATCTACTGAAAGGCATACACATATGCAGCATACTAAAGGCTGATTTACACGGCACGATTGTCTTGTGCGATTTGTAGTATACGACTTGAATCGCGCAGTGTAAATGCCCCTACGACTTGTCTACAACAGTCGTGCGCAACCTACGACTTGTAGTAGGATTTTGAACCACTGCTTAAAATCCTACGACTTGTAGTAGGAAAATCGTATACTACAAGTCGCACGCGACAAATCGTACTGTGTAAATCAGCCTTAACAGAATGAGAGAAATTTTGGCTTACTGCCATGATGTCAGGCATTTCTTGTTATCACGCTTTAGTACTCGACGTAGATTACACAGGGAGCCCAAATTGCCATTGTTTCAACCGTTTGAAGCCCGAAAAATAATTTCTGAATGAAAATTCCACCAACACCCTAAGAAGGGGTTTATATTTTCTGTTCCAAAATGTAAAAGATGTGGTTAATAAGCACTTGCCAGGTTGCCAAGTCAAATGAAGGGAAAAGGTGCATTTAGGAGACATACAATCATAACAAACTATTGTTTTCATTTCAATTACAGGGGATTCAGAAAGTTCTGTTTTATCCACTGTATCTGAGGAGATCCAAGCACTCAATGAACAAGCACATAGACTTGCATTTGATGTAGCTTTTATACAAATTAAACAGCAACTCTCTTTAGTCCCCTCCTTACAGGTATTTTATTAAGCCACAAGTACCTGCTTAACAATAGTCTCCTTCGCGGTTCCCTGCACCATCTTGAAAGGAAGCCTTTACTAGTAGCCTTTACATCGAAGCGAGGAAAAAAGATTTCTATCATTTTACACTCAACATTCGTGTCACTTCAATGCAGAGGTACAGCTACCTTTCAAGATGGCCCAGGGAACCATGAAGAAGGCAATTAGATCACAAGGTCTAGTGGACTATGAGTTGAAAGTCTGTGAGGCCATTTTAGTGTCYACAAACTGATAAATTTGTCCATGAAAGAACATCCAAAAAAACCTTAATTTCTTGATATGTTTTGTTGTTGCATTCACTCCATGAAACTACCATAAGATTGCATGGTCTAACATGAATAGACCAAAGTTCATTTACGTCAATCAGAATGCTGGAATAGTGATAAACCATAGTTCCTGGACATTAAAAGTCAACTGCACAATGAAAGGGCAACAGTTGTGTTTGCTTTTTCTCTTACTKTTGGTAGTGGTTTTATTATAAGTTGAAGATATCCATTGGTGCATCAATTACATTAATATTTTCCATACGACTTTGTGAACCCTTTTTGAAAGAATCTCATTATGATAAGAGATGATTAAGTATTTTTATAAAGTACTGTTTGTTTGGTGTAGGCTTGGAGTGCTTTATCAGCAGAATCRGGATCAGCCTTAAGCAGTGAGTTACCAACCTTTAGTTTCTCACCACAAGGCTATATAACACATGTAAGTCTGTCCACAATTTTACAGTTAATTAATATGTTTTTTTACTGCTTGTTTTATTTTTTATAATATTAGCTAACTCAGTTGGCTTAACGTCCCACTGTTCCATTCTTATTTCCAAAGCATACCAGAATATTTCCAATATAATAATTATTTTAAATAGGTAATTAATCAATGATTATGATGATATGTTTATTATTTTTCTTCTTTCGCAGATTGGTGATCATTTATTGACACTTCCACAGCAGTTGGAACCTTTTATCACACAAGAGAACCCAGCATTGTCTGCAGCTATGAAAACTGGAAAATTACCCTTTCCTGACGAACAAGGTACAATATTACTAACAGTATTATTTATTAGATAATTACTGAGGCACACAACATTTGTAGGTATAATGCAGGCAGCTGAGGATGGTTGCTGGGTCTTTGTAAGGACTGATAAGTAGTTTTCTTAAAAAACTCTTTCATCCTTTAAGTCCGGCAAGCCATTCTGCAATATTTCAATATTGCTGTCTGTTTTGAAGCAGACAGCAATATTTTGAATATTGCAGCTGGCCAAACTGTTACTGTCTGCATTCTTTGGTCTGATGCATAGGGAAAACAATGGGTTATGATTGATATCAGTAATTAAACTGTAAAATAAGCTTGCTAAACTATCTATTGAGTGATATTATTGCATTAATGGTTCTAACATGTTGTATTGTAGATGAGGGTGTTGATCCTGCCTCTCACTGGCTTGGCTCCATAGCACGAGGGACATTACATACATACACAGAAAGTATCTTGCGTATCCATGAACTCACTCCGTATTCAACAAAACAATTACTCGCAGATATTGGTAAGTATTGGTTTACGTCATGGAGTGTTACCAAATGAATGTAACTAGTTCTGAATAGCACAATTTATACTGTATAATAGACAATGCAAAACAAAAAGTAACTCATACAATTTGGTCCTTTCTATTTAGCACCATCATTTAATAATCTTCTTATGATTCACTGTGCCATCTTGAAAGGTGACTTACCCTTTGCATTGAAGCAAGTTTAGATAACCCTTGAGATACTTGTACCTGTGAAACTGTCTGTACGTGTTCTATCATTTCACCCACTACAATTATCTCCCTTCAATGGAAAGACCAAGAGGTACCTTTCAAGATGGTGCATGGAACCATGAAAGATTTTCATGRCTTTATTGTTTGCACTCTAATATCAGGATTTGGATAGTTTTTCATTTTTCAAAAGTCACTTTGAACTATTGATAATTATAATTATTGTATTTTTCAGAATATTTCTGTAATGTATTAGAAGCCCTAGAAGTAGAGCCCAATACATCTTTGAATGATATAATGACCTTATTGAAAGCAAGTCCTGAAGAGTAAGTTGTCTTCCGTATGCTTTACTTCATKTAATATTTCTTTTTTTCCTTTTGTTCTCATTTATCACCAAGAAACTTCAACACTTCAACTCCTTTTTTTAGGTTTCATGAAACTGCAGCAGATAAGAACGTGGAAGAAAGAATTCATCTTGCAATTTCAGGGATTAGAAAGATTTAATCAATTATAATAAAATTATACACACATTCTCAGTTAGTAATTTGTACGCAGAAAAAAGGAAMAATTGTTTTAGTTTTACCTATCTACAATTGCCAGTCAGCAGAAGAAGATAGAGCAATGGCAAAGAATGCTAAATATAATGCATTACCGTGTTGATTAAAGACAAAAAAATGAAAGAATTCACACGATTCAGTAAAAATTTAGTACTATACAAAAACTATATAAAGACTACAAAAGTTTGTTTTTGGTTATGGTGTTTGCACTCTATAATTATATGAAAAAATTAAAGTGGTAGTTCCAGCTAGTAAATGAGGAATTTATTGAATAATAATTAAATAAATAGAGGATATTACATGRGCGCGCGGWAATASTTATTTTATCTTCGAGTGTTCAATCAATATCTCACGAGTGAGCGTAGCGAACGAGTGAGATGTCAATTGAACACGAGAAGATAAAATTAGTATTTCCAAGCGGCCATGTAATGTTCTATTTATTACATGTATATACATCGATCTATTGATCTTTATATAAATATTGATCTAATTGGCCGAAAAAATGCAGTGTCCCCATGCCAACAATGATATCTTTTCATGGTTTAAAATATTGCATTTTCACAACTAGAGAAAACCTGGTATCATTGATATGTATATACTGTAATAATAACATGTAATTTACTCTGTTGTTACTGCCGGTAGATATGATATTAATTTATTAAAACCTACACTTCATCAAATCTAACACTTGTGATCATTTAGTTTGTAGATGAAAAATGACAATGGAAGAGTGTTGTGAAGGAGTGAAATGTTGGCTAGTTTGCAAAGTAAGGTATTGTAAATACAGTCAACTCTCTCGTAAGCGACCACCTCGGGATCAGGAAAAAGTGGTCGCTTATGAGAGATGGTCGCTTACGAGAAAGTTTTTTTTTTACAGAGTTTATATGGGAAACTGAACAAAACGGGAAATTTAAAAGGTGGTCGCTTAAAGGGAGATGGTCGCTTACTAGAGTGGTTGTTCAAAGAGAGTTAACTATACTATGTCAAAAACACCTCAGGCAGACAAACAAACCAAACCCTTATAAAATCTAATCTGGGAATTGCACCCAGTCCTCTCGACTACTACACAAGTAGACGTCAAGCATGCTCTCTTACACCAACTAGATCTGATGGGTGGGTTGTGGTCATTGTCATGCTTGCGATGTTCGGACATTGAGCAAGTGCCATAATATTCAGACATCCTYTTCCAAACTCCAGTCTCCAATTTACTGTACATTGTACTTATGATTTGGACATCCAAAAGTCAAGATAAAAAATCTTGGGAGTTTTAAAATTAAGTGACGTGTTTAGAAAGATCTGCTACTTGATTGATCAATCCAAATTAAGAAATGCACAGAACTGCTCAATATGGCTCACAAAATTCAGTTAACAATTCCCGACACTAATAAGTCTAAACACTTTAGTAAATTTGTGAACCTTGAGGCTACATGCATGAAAATAGTGAAAAGATGTAGATTAAGGACAGATTGATATTGATTTAGACAGATTTGATATTGAAAGAAGATGGCCTCCCTACTCCCCTTACAGCCATCCCTTACCACACATAGATTGATTATTCACAATCAAAGCTGCCAAGCACAAATGGAGCTCAAGAACAAACTTCTTATAGGCAGAGGGTTACAGATCGATAGATGTTAACAAAATGAAGAGATATTGAAAGACRATGGCCTCCCTACTCCCCTTACAGCCATCCCATGCCTCRCTAAGGAGTTGTACTCCATATTGCCTGTAAGAAGGCAATTAAAAAAGATGCAAAATGCTACAGGAAATTCAACAGGTCTTCTTGAATCTGAGGTAGACAAATCTTCAAATGAAGGAAATACTGTCAATTACTAGCAAAGTGTTGAAAAATGCAAGTAAAACATATTGCAATACTCGGATAAGCACTAAATGAGAAGTGTACAAGAAATGTTACAAAGTGACAAAACCATGATTGCCATCACAACAGGACATGAAAACCCCTAAAAACCACTCTACGTGGAAAAAAGGAGGAACTTGTTCGACAAGCTTTCTGCTAATGCAGCCACCACTATATGCACAATGCAGCCATTATCATATGGTGATAAATTATCCACTGCTCCAACTAGCTCTCTCAGAATATTTAACTTCACTTTCCTACCATGATTCAAAGCGACTTTTCCAAAGCTTTCCTACTGTAGCAGCAGATTGTCTATTATCTTCAGCATACATACCTTTCTGATATTCACATAGCTTTATTGAGAACACAATTCACCATTTCAATACAATAATTAGGACGTTTCTATGTTGTTTCTCTGTTGTTCAAGTATCCCTGTAAGACATTTCAATCTTATATTAGCTGCGAGTTTGTTGAAGTTGAGGTTTCCATGCTTGGACTATGTTTCTCATTCTGCTGGTTTGCAATTTCATTTGTCAAAATTTCCATCCCATTCCAGTGTTTATACCACTTTGACATTATCCTTACTTGGGGTGTGTATACTTGGCAAGATATTTGTCAAATGATCGAGTTTATTTGCTACTTCAGCATACTTACATGACTGTATAGAACATTCCTCTTACACTCAGCTAAAACCAAATGTTTTCTTGGCATCATTTACAATCCACTGAGAAGTTAAGGCAACAATATTTACCAGATACAGGAACAAGTCGTGATGTTAATCTTAATCCCCTGTGAAAAATCCCAGTCTTCTGCAAGATGCCATGCATATACCACATTACATTTGTCATGATAACATCGTCCTTTCCTCTGGTACTGTCTGCTATTGGTCCAACCACAAGCAGTCAGCAACTACGACCTCATTTAGCCAGAGTAAATCAAAGGCAATGTTACCTGAAGGGAATGGGCTACCTGTAGCTGCAGTATTTCCCAAGGGAAGATCAAGTAAAGGAGAAGTAGGCCGGCAACTACTTCTCCTTCACCAGATCCTTCTCAGGCACCCCCATCGCAGGCATCCCAGTCCCTTCAGGAAACACTGCCTTAGAATCATTCTAGCTTAATGARGTTGTGGTTAATAGTTGTGACTATGCCAAAGGTCTTGGTTGTAGAGGGTCAGTTGTAGCCAATTAATATTATTTTATTGCTTTTCATGTTATTGTTGCTATAAGGTGTCATCCATATACTTTACCATTCAACATTCGACAAGGGTCAATTGTAGCCAATTAATATTTATTGCTTTTCATGTCATTGTTGCCATAAGGTGTCGTCCATATTATTCTTTATTCAAGAGTGTTCTAATATAACCATGTCATTATTGCTATAAGGTGTCATCCATATACTTTACCATTCGAAAACATTGTCGATCATACAATCTCATCGTTGCTATAAGGTGTCATTATACTATTCCATGTCATAACTGCTCTGGGGTGTCATCCATAACTCAAGGAAAAAGCTGTTACCGTATATCAAGGCATGCTATCAATGATGTCATGAGATATGTGCTAATTGCAGAGTGTCCTCATAAATTGAAAGATGATGGCCTCCCTACTCCCCTTACAGCCATCCCATGCCTYGCTAAGGAGTTCTAGTTRTACTCCACTTTGCCTGTGTAAGAAGGCATTAAAAGATAGAATAAAATTGGTGATAAATGCTATAAAGATTCTGACAAATGTCCTAGTTTTGAAGAACTCAAAAAGACATGATATATTGTAATACTCACTCAGATACTAGGCACATAGTGAAAATACCACAAGATGTAAAACTATCATGGCGCGTCATCCATACCAAATGTGCTATTCAAGAGTGTTCTACTATTATACCAAGTCATTGCTACAAATGTCATTCATACCATATGGAAGAGTGTCCTTAAGTATACAATGTCATACCATACTATTCCAGATTGTCCTACTATACCATGTCATCATTGCTATAAGGTGTCATGCATACCATACTATT